GATATCCCATCTCCTAGAACTGGAAGGGACCTTGAAAGGTCATCGAGTCCAGCCCCCTGCCTTCACTAGCAGGACCAAGTACTGATTTTGCACCAGATCCCTAAGTGGCCCCCTCAAGGATTGAACTCACAACCCTGGGTTTAGCAGGCCAATGCTCAAACCACTGAGCTATTATGGAAAGACTTGACAGCTGAAGAGAATATACATTCTAAGAAGTGGCTGTGTATGTCATGAGCTTTCTGTAGTTCTTTCCTACCTCACCTCAGTGCTGCCTACCAACATTTTTTATAAGCCAAAGCTTTCTTTTCTGACCAGAGACCTAACCATCCATGGAAGACCCTGGTGGAGTCTCAGCTTTTCAACTGCCAAGGGAATAGGAAGGAAGAGAGGCTATTGATAAGTAGTGCAGTTGTATCAAATCACTCTTTGTGAATGGCTGAAGAGCATTACCTTATTCCTATGGGAGACCGGGGATCAGGAAACCATGTTTCACCTTGACCATCATCTTTGCCAATTGAGCAACCCATTTTGTCAGCTGCCTAACAAGAGAAGAAAGTTTATAGTGGGAGATTTAGTAAATAGACTTTACACAGGATCCTTTACTCCCAACTGCTGAAGCCCCTGAACAAGTTGTGGATAATTAAGAGAGTAAGAATATCATGGTTAACTTTTTTGGAGTGAGGATTCATCTTGGTGGATTTACAATGACCAAAAACAAGATGAATGGGAAAGGGGAATTATGTGCCCACTGCTAGCCTGGAACATTAGCTGTGATCACAAAAGCCGGAAGGAGAGTTGTGCCAGAAACGTAATAACCAAATTCTGTGTTTTCTAATAAGAAGCAATTCAGTGAGTGGAAGCAGCCGTCAAATAACTTTGTTTAAAGTGGATATTTCCTCTATCGTGACCAGAAAAGACACCTTGTGAAGGATTTATAGCCACCCAGGAAATTAAGTTTAAAAAAAAAATAGATTAGTTGCCTGCAGTCTACTCTGTTTAACAAATATTGAGGCCTGTGGAGTATTAGCTGGTGTTCGATAAGTCATTGTGCTCTTGTCCAGCATGATCTTACCCTGCCAAAGAAGCAAGTGATTACAGCTTACTTTAAGTAAATAAATCAACATTCCACAAGAAAAAGTACTTTGTATCTGGACATATGATCTAAATCTAAATCCACGAATTCAATGGCCCATATAAACAAAAATCACCACTGCAATTAAAAAAAAAAAAAAAAAGAAAAAAAAAGTGGTTCAGGTAAGAAAGAAATGGAATAATGGGGGAGGGGGAAATGATGGGTTTTAAGCTTTTTTTGAGCTGTAACACTTAGGGCATTTAGGGCAAATATGAAATTCAAGACTGAATCTGTTCAAAAGATTGCAATGGCACTACTCCAAATGGACCCTGTTAGGTTGTTGGAAGGCTGACTATTATTCACTGATACCAACAAAAAGTGTTCAACGGCAAGTCAACAATTATTTTTATAGATAAGCTAGGTTTATGGGCTGAAGCACACAATAGGTCTGGTCTAAAGCCCTCAGGATGAAAAAGATAAACAGTGATATATCAACATTTATGTTATCATAGCATCCAAAGGCCTTCATCAGGAGCGGAGACCCACTGTGCTGGTTGCTGTACAAACATAAGGACAGCCACACTGGGGCAGACCAAGGGTCCCTCTAGCCCAGTATCTTGTCTTTGACAGTGGCCAGTGCAGATGCTTCAGACACAATGAAGAGAACAGAACAATTATCAAGTAATCCATCTGATTGTCCAGTCCCAGCTTCTGGCTATCCTCACTTTAAAGACATCACAATCTAGTGCCCCAATCTGATAAAGATGTAGGCGTGTGCTTAACTTCGTGCTCTGTTATAAGACTTTACAGGACCGGGGCCTAAAACAAATTCAACTCTCCTGCACTGAAATCTTGCATAAAGTTATTAAGTATTCATCATACAGTTTCAAGATCATCTCTTGCTGATTTATAAATACAAAGAAGCGTCATTCTGCGATTATTTTCTATTCTTTAAAAGGAGGCATGCAACTGTGTGTGCATTTCGCTTGTTTTAAGAGTCCACCTTTGAGGTAGTGCTACTTTGTCTTAAATTAGGGTAAGGGAAGATTTGTATAAGGGATCAAATGCAAGACCAAGGAAAGGAATTTTGAAGTGAATGGATAGTGCATTAGGTAGCTAAATGTTATTCAGCGATATATCATGTGCACCATTTTGCTTTACTATTTGCTCTGGGACACAGTTTTGTGGATACCACTTTTGGAAGATTTTCTGGAAAAAAGCCAGTTTATTATAAGTTAATTGATGCCAGAGTACCTTTGTCCTACGAGTAGCCTGGGGACTGCTGTCACCTGACCTCTTCTGTCCTTGTGGCCGATGTGCTGGCAACTTATCCTCTGGCAATATTTGCTCTAGCTGTTAATATCCAAGACAGGCATTCATTAATTGGAAGGGTAAACAATCTATGCATAATTGAATACTCTCCTGGTCAAAGCTGCTGTATCAAGGTCAAGAATACTGTGCACAAGAGACTATTCTCTTGCAGTTAACAACCTGCGCTTATCCAAGAAATGACTACTAGTGATTTTTCCACCTGTGACAATAAGTCTACACCTTCATTTATTGTGCATCGCTGATTTAAACAAACAAAAAACAATGTAACCAAGAACCTGGAATCATCTGTGCTTCACACATCAGACATGTAAAGTAGTCCTCAAGATAGAGCAGAAACTGTTGTTAAAGCAAGCTGATATTCGATTGCTACTTATTTTTTAAAGGCCCAATGTAGATGTCTATAATATGGCCCATTTGACACCTTCATTGACTTGGGCCAGTAATTTCACAAGGGAATTATTCTCATGACTATTTCTAGTAAGTAATTTGAACGATAAGGCTTTTCTATATGAACAAGATGCAAATAGGCCAAAGCCGATGTTATAGGTCAATCCCTGATCACTAATAACCATTGCTGAAAAGTTAGCGGTAGGTGAAGTAAGAAGCAGTGAAGGAACGTTCAGCTGCACTACAGCATGCCTAACGAGAAGCTTTTTCTCATGCAAGTTCATGCACAAAATTTGTGAATTGTTAGGAGTACCAACGTAACCATAAATTAAAATATTGGGAGGGTGGGTACTTTCCTCTGCCACTATCTTGGCAAGACTGTAATCTGCATCAGGTGCTAGGAGTTTCTTGTGGCGTTCTGAAAATTCAGTGTGTGGAGCCTGTAAGAAAAAGAAATCCACAATACTTTTACTGACAGTGATCTTAATTAAAGGTCCATATTTTTCGAATGGCACAATATTGAACTGTTTATTTTACATAGATGGAGCCACCACATCTTAGTATGGTATTTACCGCTTAAGCTTTCTTCAAATGCTGCAGGGCAACATCTGAAGCCAATTGTTGTAATTAGGAATTTTTTTTCCTGTAAAATATGAAGAAACATGAGGAAGGCTTGTCCAATGGTTAGAGCAGTAGCTGGGACTCAGGAGACTCGAGTTAAATTACATGCCTTGCCACAAACTCCCTGTGCAGCCTTGGGCAAGTCACTTAGTTTCTCTCTGCACCTCAGTTCCCCATCTATAATGTAAGATGGGGATAACAGCACTTCCCTATAAGAACTTTAGATAAATGGGATGTGTCTAGTCTTAAGATTTATAGGAACTGGTTTTCACACCACTTACAATGGTCACCTTACTTTGTATCCCTTTAAAATCTAAGCTTAAATGTTATTTAACATGCTGAAACACTGGTAATTGAATCAATATTTAATAGTTAATTTTAAGTCGGCATTTATAATTACTTGGGCACTTTGTATATCAGGAAATCAACTTGGCATATTCTTAAACACCCGAGCTGACTGTTTCACAGTAGATTTCCTTGGGCTGTACGGTAGAAGTTGTGCCATAGAAGCATACTGTAATTAACTGATTGAAGGTAATTGCTGCATTTGTCAAGAGCTTAATACAAAGAACATCAGGTTCTATTAACTTGAAATTTCCTGCATGTAGCAGCAGCTACATAAAATATTCATGCATTAGTAGGTTACTTACTTTACTGTAGCCAGTGGCACAAGCTGCTGTCACTTTGAAGTCTTTTGTTTCAAGGACTACTTCAGTACTGTTCTCTGAATAAGGAGAGGGAGAAACTAATAAGTGAGGCCCTTAAAAGAGTAAATTATGCTGGAGTATCTATGCCATGTTGCCTGAGTCAACACTTCAGAACAAGAGCTATAGGATAGCCATCTTTAGAAACTGCTTTGCTTAATTATTCTCCTGTGCTTTCACCTATATGCAATGGTGATGGGCAACATACAAATACATAGATGAGAAGGTGCAAAGAGGCAATGTGCCCAAATGCCAGCGGTCTACCTAACAGAGGATTAGATTAAAGTCTTCAGGGGTAAAGGGGCAGGAGAGGTGTCAGAACAGTATTCGTATATTGGCAATCACGTCCAGAAAACTAACGAGTAAAAAATTCCTTATCCATTCCATAGCATGATGCAACAGAACCAGGAAAGTGTTTTTTCCTTTAAATTATTTTCACTCAATATAAAAAGAAAGCTTGTTTGAGCTAGCTATGTTTTTGTTAGGACAGCTGCTATGCTGTCAGATTAGTCCGACGTGCAGCTGTTGGTTTAGTATTTTTCAAAACACTTCTAATCCGCTCAGGATTTTGGAACTCCTTTTTTTCAAAAGCAACAGAAATTGCCCCACCAAACTAATTGCTTTAAAAAGTTAGCAATTCCTTACAGCCTGTAAAATAAATGAGAGACTTGGCTATCTCCTTGATGGGAACTTAAAAGGAGGCTTATGAGCGATTAAAAAAAAAGCAAAGCTTGGTTTTCAGTTCTATGCAGTTCCCCAAAAAGATCTTCAGGATTGAGCTACTGAACGTTACACTTCTGCCGAGAGAAAACCCTACATTCGTTTTTTCCTCTGAAGAGATTTCCAATTTCCTTGATATTCACAAAGGAGTTAGCATGCCACATCAGACCACAGGGCCATCAGGTTCAATAGCATGTCAGACAGCGGTCAGTGCCAGATGTTTCAGGCAACTCTGTGGCAGGCAGTCACAGAACAACCTGCCTATAGAATAAATTGCTTCCTAATTCCCACACAGATTGGCTTATGCCCTGAAACATGCCGGTTTACATCTCTTCAGACTTCTAAACGTCTCATTTAACAGTGGATGTTCTCATTTTCCATATAGGACCCGACTCTAAGTTATACCAAGTTAGGGGCCAATTTAAGGCCCTTTACAATGTCAGAAGCAAATCCTCAATAAGCGTTATGATTGTTTACACCAACTGCGGATTTGCCCCCTCAGAGTACTGTAAAGAGGTATTAGTGTAATAATAATAGTCCCTTTTTATAAAAATCTAGCTAAGATCTCAGGCCTGGTCTATGCTACAGAGTTAGGTCAATGTAAGGCAGCTTACGTCGCCTTAACTCTGAAAGCATCAACACTAAAATTTAGTTCCCACTGACTTAACTCGCCCACTACACCTACTTAACTCCACCTCCACGAGAGATGTAGTACTTAGGTCAATAGTCAGGTTGACGCAGTGTCAGTGTAGACACTGTGTTGCTTACATTGACAGTTGCTGCCTTTCAGCAACTGTCCCACAATGCCCCATGCTGGCAGTTAAATCGGTGCAAGTGCTCTTGGTAAGGATGCGCACCACTGACACAAGGAGCATAGAATGGACGTGTAAAACAGATTCGATTACTGCAGTGGCGATGTAACTTAGGTCAACTTAATTTTGCAGCACAGACTTGCCCTCAGACTCAATAATATCTTGTGACACTGAGTTACAAAGGTTAGCTGTGCATCATGTAAACAAGTGTTTCCTTTAATGAACTGAATATTGATAACCATTCAGTTGCATTCATTTGTTCTGTGTTTGTCCAGAGCCTAGCACAATGGGGTTCCGGTCCATGACTAGGGTTCCTAGGCATCTCTCCAATACAAATAAATTCTATGTCCCTAATTTACCTTCTCAAAACTCTTGCTCTGTACGCCTTGATTGTGTCTCCTTATTTCTCTCCTCTTCAAACTGACCAGTCCCAGTGTTTTCAGCATGAGAGGAGATTGAAGATGCCATCCAAAAGCCAAGGCAACTTATTTTCTGATTTGTGTAATACATGCAAGTCTTGCAATGTGCGTGGTTTATTTGGGTTACAGGACCCAGATCTGAATTTTTTATTTTTTTTTACAGCACCCAGGGACATTTGCTGCTGAATCCATGTTTCATAGCATTTTTAGTTTTCCATCTCAGAGCAGAGTCAGCCTACAACTCTACTGACACTGAATAAACCATGTGCCATTATAGTTTTGGTTTAAAAAATAAAATCATATACCAAACAGTATGGAGGGGGCACACTTGATAATGAAGTGCAAGATGGGGACTGGTGGAGTGGAAGACAGCAAGAGGTGATAAAACAGTTTTAGACCACAAACCCATTAAGCCACACTAAAGTAAGAACAATAGGTGAAATCCAGGCCCCACTAAAGTCAATGACAAATCCCCCACTGACTTCAATCGGACCAAGATTTCACCCCATGATTCTATGAGGAGCACAATATGGAAGGGACAAAAGGGATTTGACCTAAGAAATTGCTCTGGAGTTCGGCTGCAAAGACTCACAGAACTATTGCAGCAAGATTACTTTCCTTCATAAAAAGTCACCATTGAGATACTTTTGTTAAAATAATTTCAGACAGGTGGATTAGCCATCTACCCAGGGATTTAGGTCGGCTTTACTGCACTGGTCAGGGGTATGGATTTTTCACACCCCAGAGTGACATAATTATGATTACCTAATTTTCTAGTGTAAACCAGGCCTTAGGAGCATGAGTCCCATTGACTCTCAATGGGATTTGTGCTCCTAAATCACTTAAGGCCAGATTTTTGAAGCGCTCAAAGATGCAGATAGGCCTAACTCCCATTGAAATTAATGGAAAATAGGTTCCTAGGCAACACAGAAAAATCTCACATGGTAATACTAAATGTTCTCAAACATACAAAATATTAAGATTGATAAACTGACACTTAATTTCTGCATCCAAAAAGTTTACTACTATACCTTTTTCTTCCTCACTCTCTGAGCTCCGATCAAGACCTCCACTTTCCTTTGGCTTGCCACATAATCCTTGTGGACGTGGATTCATCAACTGCAGTAGTTTATTCTCATAAAGAGTCCTTGTAGAAGCTAAAATAAGCCGTTCAGAATACAAGGGGATTAATAACAATTGGTTTGCTGTGGAATTAGTTTTATTGTTTGAAAATCTGGTCCTAAATTTCAGGGATTTTACAATGAGCTCAGGACCCAGCAACTCCAGTTGAAAACAAGTGCTGAGCACATCATTTAGGTGCTTAAATGGGAGCTGAGCTCTTTTGAAAACTCAGGCCTTTGTTTTTTGTCTTATGTTTTTGAGTTGGGTTGAGACCCAATTTCTCACTTTAGATTAGATTCTACTTCCCCATCTGTTCCCAGTCAGAACCATAATTAATTTGAAGCATACGTAGTATTGGTCCAGGCTCGGCACCATACATGACAAGCTTTTCCTGCAATTCATTGTCACTCAGTAGTTTAATGCTGATTTCATCTGTTGTGTCTTGATCTCGGTTTTCTTGTTCTTGCTTTTCTATCAACACACCAACAGTAACCTGGGCCATCTTTTTCAACAGCAGAACCTTTGGAATAAGATACGAGAATTCACCATGAAAGCTAAGTACAGGACAAAGGCATCTTTAAGCATTTATCCTGTTGTTCTGCAAATCTTGTTTTATTAATCACTTCTATATATTTAGATAAACTGGAATAGTTATATTCGGGTTTCCTGCCACTGTTGGAATGGTTTCCAAGTGCCTCACTATTCCATCAAAGATTTCAGTATCTACAGATTTAGAGCTTTCATACAAAGTTAGGTGGCAAATTATAGGTAACAAATTATATTTAATTGACAATTACAGGTAAGTGGAACAAGAGATGGTGTGCTCAAATTTCAGAGGAGGCTTCCGGAAATGAGGTAAAAAGAGAGTGAGTGAGTGTGTGTGTGTGTGCGCGCACGCGCCATGTTTAGAACAGTACTTTGAGTATCCCTTTATAGTTCAGATCTCCATTGTTTGCAGTATCAAGAGTTTGGGAACCATTTCTCCTCCTTCCCTCTCCCCCAACCTCCCGATCCTGCCTTCTTCACTGCCTTGTCTGTCATGAATGCTCTAGAAATATGGTTTTGTTAACTTGCTTTCCTTTTGCTGGCTGTCTCTGCAGCAACCTAAAAATATTGTATCATTATTCAGTTTATGTTTGTAGTGATGGAGAAGTGTCCCTTTCAGGCCTGCCACTCTGTCCAAGTTGTATGTATGTAGATTTAATAGTCTTCAGTAAAGCTTCTAGAGGTAAGAGGCAGATTGCCTATGCCTATATGACCGAAGGGAAAGCCTATAAGATCTGCAAGTCAAAGATATGCTTTGTCTGGGTTATATTAATAAGATAGGTTATTTTCAAGTACCAGACTGACATTCCCACAGCACATTTCCATATATATTACACAGACTAAATGAATCATTTCTAGCACAAAAATACTGTGCATGACTGCATGCAACAGCTGCTCTTCCACGCCTTGGTCTCTTGTGCCCTGGTTTTGATTATAACAGGTGCCTTTCTGATTGGAAGAGAGTCTGTAGAGATCCAGCTATTTTAAAGGGGCAAAAGCATTGCCTAAAGCCACGCCTCTTTCACTCGCTTCCCCTTCCCTTTAGTGGGAAGAAAAGGCTTAGGAGCCAGCCAGTCTATGCAACTTTTCAGATTGTGTCTGGGACCCACTCTACCTTGACAGAACAACTGGAGAAGATCTAATTAAAGTGGTTTCATTCTATTTGCTTGGCTTCTGTGTCCATCTCCCCATCGGTCTAATGCCTCACAGGGATGTTGTGAGGTTTAATTCATTAATGTTTACAAAGCCCTAGGGGATTCGCACATGGAAGGTGCTATAGAAGGGTGATGTTTTATATAAGCAGAACACTGTATTCATCCGAGCACTTGATTTTTTCAATCTACACATAAATGTCAGAATGAAGTCTTAGAAGCAGTACAGGAAACACTGGCAGACAAGTCCACATATTGTTGATAGAACAGACATCTGTGGTGCACTTTCATATGCCTTTATTATTTATTGACTGTCATCAGCATATGAGATGCTCTGCAAGACAGAAAAAACAGTCCTCAAACAGTTTTCAGTTTGGAGCAGACCATCCAGTTTTTAATCTCAAGATTAGTTGACAATGCATTAGAATTAGGTTATTCCAAATACATAAATTCTACACTTGTTTACCAAACGTCTTAAAACATACAACCAAACCGTAATGCTTTGCATCACGGGAAAATAGTTAGACATCAATTCAAGTTCTCACTCTGTTATTTATGATCTGAGACTTGAACTTAACAATATGTTGTCCAGGATCACTCACTTCTACCCATCATTTATCAGAGATGGGTTAATATTGCAGTGACTATTACTGCAATAGAATTACATATTACAATATGATCAAAGCCAACCTTAAACTGACACTCTGCTAGTGATTTGTCACTGTCTAATTACAAAAAAAACCTTCACTAGCCAGGTTTGTAGACTTTTATCCTGTAACACTAGCTAATTCAAAACCCTGTCACCTCAACAGAAATTTTATTTTAATAGTAAACAAAGCATCTAAAAAAACCATACTCAAAGATTGTAGCAGAGTTTTACCCAGAGCTTGTCTACACACAAGTTGCACCAGTTTAAAAACAGATTTGGTTAAACCAGTACAAACCCCACTGTGGGCACTTAGGCTAGGTCTACACTACAGCGGGGGGTCGACCTAAGATATGCAACTTCAGCTACGTGAATAGCGTAGCTGAAGTGGCGTATTTTAGGTCGACTTACCTGGCTGTGAGGACGGCGGCAAGTTGACCGCTGCCGCGCCGCCGTCGACTCCGCTACCGCCTCTTGCCGCGGTGGATTTCTAGAGTCGACGGTAGAGCCATCAGGGATCGATTTTATCGCGTCTTCACTAGACGCGGTAAGTCGATCCCCGATAGACCGATTGCTACCCGCCGGATAGGCGGGTAGTGAAGACGTGCCCTTAGTTAAAATGTACAGGTCCAAGCTCAACTGACATAAAACTAGGTTTAAATTGACGCAAAATTGCCCCAGTTTAACATCACACTGGTAGCTAAACGGATTAAACTTTGTGTTTAAATCAGGCCTCAGTAACATTAAGAGCAGATCTTCTGTCTAGTTCTAGAATTCTATATTTAGACTGGGATTTTCAAAGCAGCATAAGGGAGTTAGGCATCCAACTGCTGATTTCCAATGGAAGCTGAACACCTAACACTTGGCCCCACCATAGATCTTTTTATTAAAGAACACATTTGATCTCGAAGAGGTTTTAAAAATTAGATTAATTGTACCTACAAGTGTCTAATGAAAATTCTAGAACAAAGACCCTAATGGGTCATCTCAGATACCTTGCACTCATTTTTTTCCATGCAGGGAGCCAGTCAACCAACTATATTTAAGCATAGTTTAACAAGTCTCTTATCTCTTGGCTGAAGCCCAGGATACAAAGCCTTAATTTCTTTGTAGTGAAAAAGAAATTTTCTAAATGACCTACACATTTTTACTACAAAGTACATGATTTTAAAGAACTAAGTCTAGATATTTTATGTCACTGTTTCACGACATATTTGTGCCTCAACATTCATCAGCCTTTTTTTTGGGCGGGAGGGGGGTTAAAAAAAGAAGGTATCCCCAAAAAAGACCCATTTCAATTTAAAATGAGGGTGTCTCATTTCCTAAGGCTGAATCTACCCTGGTCAAAATTACGATCGGTCACTCTCCACTGGGAGAGCTCTACTGATGGGAATTACAGATCCCTCTTATGCCAGGTTAGAAACAGTCTTGGAGATTGTTCTGATATTCCAAACAAATTCACTTACCCCCTCACATGATCTTATGAAATTCTGACTCTGTAATTAAAACAGCTACAGATGTTAAAAAGGACTTCCTCTTTCTAAAAGCCCAATGCCCCTGCTCTTCGTGCCCAGAATAAAGACTCTAGTGACTTATCTGTGACATCATTAATTTCCACGGTAATAGACTGGTGTCAAACCAGATTGTGACTTCACTGCAGGTTCATTACAAGGAGGAATTTTGCTGGGAAGAAGAAAAGCCAATCTATTACGCCGGTGAGGCCAGAAAATAGCATAACAGCTTAATGAGGTTAGAACTACAAGATGCAGCTATGGCAGAAGGCAAGTAAATACATATAGGGAAAGCTAATCCGTGATAGATATTTATGGAAGTGATACTTCAAAAGAACATATGTGATGTCTACAAAGTTCTAGGAGCTATAGTAAACGGACAGAACAGCAGAAATGCTAGTGTTTTGGGGGTCGTAGAGACATCACGCTATGGAAAAGGAAAGAGATACTCTGTCTATCCCACTCAGTTGAGAGCATGACTAGAATACTGCATTCACTTCTGGACACCTCAATAGTAGAAGGGATTAGTTACAGTCCTTGACTAAAGGATACTGTATATTAATTACTAAGACAAAAGGTAATTCAGAAGAGCAACAAAAATAATGAGTCTGGAGTGATTTATTTATGAGGCAAGATTAAGAGCACTAAATATGTATAGCTGAATGAGACTGAATGTTAATGAAAACTTCCTATAGAGGAGATCAACTACACTGTAGAAGAAGTCTTCCCAGAGAATTGGGAGGGAAAAGCCATCACTTGAAATGCTTAGGACAAGACAAAAATCTTGTCAGACTGTAGGGAACATGCCTGCACACTATGATGCACCTAGAAGTCACCGGCTGATAGGTATTTTAAGAACGACGTTATTAGAGTTCTGTGTTCCAGTTCATTTTAAAATATTAGGGCAGCAAATAGACAGAGCCATTTTAAAGTTCTGATATTCGCTCAGCCATTATATTAACCAAGCTCACTGGAGGTGGCTAATATTAAACAATATTTCTTCAGATGTTTATTCCCTACCACAGACAGGCCTCATAACAACCTGTCCTTGGCCCCTAGAATAACAAAGCTAGAAATTAGTATTTACTAAGTACCTGGCATATTTCAGCTGGTTTAAAGCAAGAAACACCCCCCTCTGCCCGTTATAGGAAAATTATTCTGCTAGCACTGGGGTAGACATTTAAAATCCTTTATCTAGCTTTGTATTATACTATGCACTTTTCACTAAAGGCATAAGTAAAAATAGGATTCCCTTAGAATGCCACATGTTTCAAAGTAAGAACGTGTTACAAGGAAACAAGAGCTGGGAGCCTTCAGTGACGTATCTCGCACTTAGGATTAAAACATGACTAACAATTATCTTAAATTGTGTTCAGTTCCCGTTCCATGGAAGCCACATTCCATTTAAATACAAGTGCAACCTGAAAAGGATGAGTGTACACATTCACTTAATCTACAAATACATTATTTTAACAAAGGAGTCAGCCAAACTGAATGAACAGCATTTCAAATGGCCATCTGCCAAAGCCTGTTTCCATAAAGACCTCAACAGTTAACTAGCAGCAGAAAACTGAAAGGACTGAAAGTGCTGTTTTTCAGTCATTTTTATGCATAAACATACAACTCTTTACTAGTTCATCAATTTGAA